ATATTAGCATTAGGGGTGTGTACCAGGGTAGGGTTAGGGTTAGGAAATCTAGGTTTCCTGGCATGGTTTTGATGGTTGGAACATGTTTCGGATGGGCAGAGATGATGAGCAGTGCAGAAAAATCTACTCAAGGAAGGCTTTTTCAAAATCGCCTTACTTTCAGTGGAACTTGAGCCCTATATTAGGGTTAGGGGAGTGCACCAGGGTAGGGTTAGGGTTAGGAAAACTAGGTGTCCTGGCATGGTTTTGATGGTTGGAACGTGTTTATGAGGGGCAGAGATGATGAGCAGTGCAGAAAAAGCTACTCAAGGAAGGTTTTTTCAAAAGCGCTTTTCAGTGGAACTTTTCAGTGGAACTTTTACCCTATATACTGCATTATATTATTCAGTACATTAGAGCGATAAGCCTCATGCAGAAGTTCCCAGGACTTGTCCTAACAGCTCCTTGAGCCGCCCAGTCTTGCATTCACACGCCCTGCCTTTTTCCTTCTCGGCCTCTTAGATGTGGCTGACGTAGGTATAGATGCGTTTGCTTTTTTCTCAGTTACAGAACAGGTTTTGGAATTGTTTGCCACCAGGTTCCTGGGATTGTCCAAATCTCCGTCAAAAAAATTGTCGTTCTGACGTTGTGGGTGTTTATGGGTCAGTATTTCAGTCCTGACGACAGTAGATTGGGAACTAGCAGAGCAAGTGTTGTGTTCCAGAAATTGTAGGATATATTTTGCTTTTAATTACCGTATTTTTTGCTGTGTAAGATGCACTTTTCCCCCCTCAAAAGTAAGGGGAAATGTCTGTGCATCTTATAGAGCGATTATGTGTGTGCAGTAATTCTGTCAGATGTGCAGCCCATGGGGAAGTGATGGGGAACGTGCGTGTGATGATGTGCCCATTTGATTCAGGATATTTTTTTTCTTGTTTTCCTCCTCTAAAAACTAGGTGCGTCTTATAGTCAGGTGCGTCTTATAGAGCAAAAAATACGGTATGTAAAATGGAGTACATCCCTTTCCACCCCAGGTAGCAAGTCCAATGGTCAGGGGTAATGAGAGTTGCGGTCTGCAATGTATGGAGGAGAACATCTTGCGGGAGGTTGGTGTGATGTGGATTCATTATATATTCCTCTGTAGAGGTGTGAATCTTGGCTATTCAAATGCTTGCACTTCAGGTTCCCCATTCAGTCTCCCCCCCACCCAGCAATGGGAGGTCTTGAAGTTGCTCTTGATCCTGTTTCTTTCCCAGGATGCGATGCTTGCCTGGTAGGCCAGCAGCTCTGCTCAAGTCCACACTGGGATCCACTGTCTCGTGTCGGAACCTGAAACGGGGGTTTGCCAACTGCCCTTTTCCACGCCTGCCAGGCACGTGGCCGTTCTCACTGTCGGAACAGCAGTGGATGTCAGGCAGTGGGGCCTTGCGGAGCACGTCGAAAAGGCCACGCGGCTGCGCCCTCGTAAATGGCAGACAGGGACACTGGGTCTCTAAGGCTTCGAGGTTGCCTTCCTGCTCGCCCTTGGGCTGTTTGTCTGGCCCTGGCTGGCACCGACGAACTTCTTTAGATGCGGAGCCGCAGTTTTTACAAAACATGCCTTTCATTATCGTATGGTATTTAAGAAGAAGCCTGACAAAGTGGGCAACAGGGTTCAAAGGTTAAATAAACTATCTGTAATAGGAGGTGGCAAGCAGGAACTCAGAGGAGACCCTCATCCCGGTGTGTGAGAAAAGGGAGCCGTTCCTTTTCAGAAAGACTGCAATATGCACACTGAAAAAAAAAAATCCTTGCTTGGCCTTTGCTCGTAAGTAGTTTTTGTAGAATTGGTCATTTAAACACATCACAAACATCTCATCAGTTAACATTTATTTAATCAGGTCAAAGTCCTACTTGGAAGCTTTCATTTTGGGGGGGGGGCTCAAA